AGCCTGTTCGTGGATCGCACGCATCTGCTCGAAATTGGCTGCCGTCTGTTTTGCCAGTTCCGTGTGCGCCTGCTGTAATGTCTGGAAGTTCTTCTCAGCGGCGATCATCTGACCCTGGATTCCAGAAATCTGTTGGTTTATCTCCTGCACGCCGAGATTCAACTGACTGGACAGGCTGGCGACCGACGACGACAGAGGAGCAATCATATCATGCATGGCTGCGAGGATCTTCTCTGTGTCCCTCATACCCTCCGTGGACGTACCTCCAGGCGCCGCCGGGGGGGTACTCGTCCCTCCAGGGGAGGCTGGAGGAGTGGAGGAGAGCGATACTGGCCAGGACTCGCTGACCTCGGACGGCATAGCGCTGGGAGGGGAGGAGGGCGCGGCCGCAGCGGGCCGAGGGAGAGCGGCCCCGCGGGGCCAGGGGAGCGCGTCCGCTCCCGGCCTTGGTGCCTGGCCACCAGGCGCCTCGAGCGAGGTTGGGAAGTTCAGGAGAAGGCCCCTTGAGCCAAAATGGCTACGGAGGTGGAGGAGGGGGAGGAGGAGGAGGAGATGGAGGAGGAGGAGGAGGAGGAGGAGGAGGAGAGCAGGAGGAGGAGGAGGAGGAGGAGGAGGAGGAGGAGGAGGAGGAGGAGGAGGAGGAGGAGGGAGGAGGAGGAGGAGGAGGAGGAGGAGGAGGGGGAGAACGGGTCGCCTAAGCCCTTCGGAGAAACCCTCCAATACCAGGAAGCGGCAAACACAAATGGCTGCGCTCACACAGTAAACCCCCGGGGACGCGCTGGGCACACGTGCGGAAGCTCTCGGCCTGTCCAGCGCCCGCGTCGTGCGCATCCAACCTCGATCGGATTCCAGACTCGCGGATGCAGTGCTCACGGAGCTCCCGAGCGAAGTGAACCCCACCCCACCCCTCAGAAATCGTGGGGGGTAGGGGTAGGGTTCGCATGTGGCCCCCTACACGTAGCCCTCCTGACGGTCAGAGCTGACGCCTCCCGACCAGCGGCGACGGCCGTTTTCCTCCTGCCATGTTTACGTACTCCGAGATTCTTAATAAGCGTCGGGGGGGCGTCACCCCCGCCGACAGCCCCACATCGACCCCCGTCGCGGGCAGCCACCGCGCGCCGAAGACGCTCCGACCCCCGTCGCGGCGCGACGCTGCGACGAGGAGGCAAGGTTGACCCCCGGTCGGGGGGGTACCCCCCCACGCTTCTGAAGAAACCCAGAGCAGCCTCGATCGGATTCCAGGTTCGCAGGTGTAGTGCTTACGTAGCCCTCCTGACGGTCAGGGCTGGCGCCTCCCGACCACACCAGCGACGGCCGTGTTCCTCCTGCCGAGGCGAGCCGCTGCTAGGCGCGCCGGAGGGCTCGCCACTGGCCGCGGAGCGCGGAGAGCGTGCGCGGAGGACAGGAGGGCGCCACCTACACAAACATACCGATGCGCATGGGGGAGAAAGGGTCAGGGAACCCAACGCTTACAAGGTCCAGAGGATACTGACTGTGGCGCTGGGGGCGACCTCCAGGTCAGTGAAGTCGGTGCTTGAGCCAAGATAGATGACAGCAGCAGGAGAGGGGAGGAGAAGGAGAGCTGGGGAGTCCCACGCACAACCGATCCTAGCATGGTCCAGCCTGGGCCCAGGATCGGTGCCTACGACCTACTGGCTTGGCCACGGAGGCGTCCTCGCCGGTCCTGAGTCCAGGGCCAGCCTGGCCAGGATCGGCGCAGGCGCGCAGGTCGGCACCCTCCGTCGATGGCAGCCGCGCTAGGCCGACGCCGACCCGATCTCCACGCTGGGCGCCCGGGCGCAGCCCGCCCGCGCCGCGAGCGCGAGGAGGAGGTAGAGGCCCAGCACCGCCGCGCAGAGCCCGCGCCACTTGCCGAGCCACGGCGGCGCCGGGGCCGCGGCCTCGGGAGCCCGGGTGGTGGCTGCAGCGAGAAAGGAGGAGGCCAGGAGGAGGAGGTAGGCCGTGCGGGCCCTCCCTGAGCCCAGGCTCGATGGATGTGCCGCCCTGGTTTTTCCTCCTCCTCCTCCTCCTCCTCCTCCTCGTCCTCCTCCTCCTCCTCCTCCTCCTCCTCCTCCTCCTCCTCCTCCTCCTCCTCCTCCTCCTCCTCATCCTGAAGGGCCCGTGCCCCGAGCCTGGGCCCCGGGGCTGGGCCGCCACCGGCCAGTGCAGGCTCACCGGCCAGTGCAGGCTCACCGGCCGGCGCCCCCCTCCCTCCCAGGTGCTCGAGCGCGCGAGGATCCTCCTCCTCCTGAAGGGCCAGTGCCCCGAGCCTGGGCCCCGGGGCTGGGCCGCCACCGGTAGGGGGACAAGCCCGACCGAACCCCAGGTGTTCGAACGCGCGAAGACAGCAGGACGGGGGGCAGGCTCGGACGATGCAAGGCGCGGTGGCCTGCGCGGGGCGCCGACGCGGCGCACCGCGTGATTCTCTTAAGGTTGAGGGCTGAGGGTTTAGGACCCACTAGCCCAAACTTGAAGCCTGTGGGACGTGTCCCACGCACCCATGACCCAAGACATATTGATCTCAAAACGACGACGACGACGATACCGATGACGAAGACGACGATACGGATCTTAAAACGACGACGACGACGACGACGACGACGACGACGACGACGACAGTCGCTCAAAGTCTTCTTGGAAGCCGCTGCAACGGCGATGCGGCACGCGCGCGCGACGACGATATTTGAAGAACAACGCATCTTTACGCGAGTCCCTGTGCGTCGCAGGGACGCCGTCCAGCGGCGGTGAGATTGCATGGAGCGGCTGCGCAACGAGCGCGGGATAGCTCGTTGCCTCGATGAGACGGATCCCCAGATCGCATCCTTAGCACTGCGGCACGGTGCGCGAAGGCCGATGCAAGGGCGATGCGACGCGCGCACGCGAAGCGACAAAAACGAGTAGCTCCCCGCAGCAACTGACCGACGCCTTGGCGATCTGCGTGAGGGGTGCGCCCTGGGTTTTGCAGATCCTCCTTGAACGCCATTCCTGGCGCTCCGAGGCCAGGGATCTGCGTGAGGGGCGCGCCGAAGTGGGGGGCGGCATATGGGAGCACGGAAGGAGGTGTTTAAGGAGCTTCAGGATCTAAATCTTCATGGGCTCTTAGCTCTTAAGGTGTAGGGTTTAGGGTCCACTAGCCCAAATTTCAAGCCTGTGGGACGTGTCCCACGCACCCATGACCCAAGACATATTGATCTCACAACGACGACGACGATACCGATGACGAAGGCGACGATATGGATCTTAAAACGACGACGATGACGACGACGACGACGACGACGACGACGACGACGACGACAGTCGCGCCAAGTCTTCTGGGAAGCCGCTGCAAAGGCGAAGCGGCTCTCAACCCGAAAGCACCCGTACTTTTCGCGAAGGACAGTAACGACGCCGTGCCTAGCATTCCGAGGCCACGAAGGTCTGAGAGGGGCGCGCCGTGCGATTCGCAAGCCGCCCCAGAACGCAATTTCTGACACTCCGAGGCCACGAATCTGTGTGGGAGGTGCGCCTTGGGACTTGCAGACCCTCCCATAACGCCATCCCTGGCAGTCCGAGGCCACGACACTGAGGGGTGCGCCCTGGGTTTTGCACATCCGCCCAGAACACCATTCCTGGCACTCCGGGGGCAAGGATCTGCGTGAGGGGTGCGCCGAAATGGGGCCGTTTGCGAGTAGGCACTCTGCGAGTAGTGGAACGCGCTCGGTGAGAATACTCTTCATGCAGAGGACAGAGCCCGACGTAAGCCTAGGCGCGAGCCCTTGCGCGGGCCGCCCGGGCGCGAGCGCGCTGCTGCGAGGCTGGCGCCGCAGAGCCTCCGCGCCGCGCACCTCGGGAGGGTCCGGGAGGGCCTCTCGGCCCGTGGAGGCCAAAACTCCTCCAGAGGGCGATGTTTTTACTACGGCGTATTTTTTCGCTACGTCGGAGCTCAGGGAGGGTAGAGAACGAACGAATTCTTGAACCACCAACTTTCGGAGCTCCGCGCTGGTCGCAGCGCGACCCAACGAGATGACGCGACCAGCGCCGGGCGCCGCCTACCCAGCGCGCACGCGGTGCGCGGCGTTCGGGCGCGCGATGAGAGGTCGCTGCTGCTTGAAGTGTCCGAGCGGCTGCGAGAGCTGCCCGAGCTGTCGGACGCGACTTTGCGCGCGGCCTCTCCCCTCGCCCGCGCTCGACCCGACCGCGGTCGATGCGGCGCGCGATGAGGTCGCTGCTGCTTGATGGGTCCGAGCCGCTGCGAGAGCTGTCCGAACTGTCGGACGCGGCTTTGCGCGCTGCCTCTCCTCTCGCCCGCGCTCGACCCGACCGTGGTCGATGCAAGCGAGGCGGGCGTCCTACGCCCAGCTCCCATCGCTCCTCCGTTGCGGCAATCGGAGCGCCCGCACGGATGTCTCGAATCGGCGCTGGGCCCCCCTGGAGATGCCTCCGGCGCCGCCCATGGCTTGCTTCGCGCGTCAGAAGGGGGGCCCAGCGCAGATCCAAGAAATCCGCGCCGAGCTCCTAACGTTCATGTTTATGCGGTTTGTTCAAATTCGAAAGAGGCGTGGCGACCTCACGCACAAGCTTCGTAGGGTTTTCGACTGATCAAACAACTTGGTGCCCATTCCGGGGAAATACGATGGGGCGAAGTCCATCGACAGGGGTGCGTCCGAACAACCCCCTGGGGGCGCATCATATCCCCGGGTTTCCCTCACTTCCCACATGGCCAGCTTGTTCAAAGAAAGTCAGGGATTGGTTGAGCATAGGCATACCCCGGTATGTTCTTCGAACACTAGAACGCTCCCAACATTGGCAAAAACAACAGTCCTGTAGCACAGAGCCGATGTCCTAAAGCAAGGGGGATTGAAAATCACCTCACGGAGCTGATTTTCCCGGCGCCTCCCGGCGCCGGGAGGCGCCTGTGTATCGAGGAATGGGCCCGGCGGCGGGACCGAAACCAGCTGCATGCAGCAGATTTCGTAATCCCCCCTTTCCCTATCCCCCCCTTTCCGTTCGGCCCGCCACTC